ATTTATTACCTAAATAATAAAATCAGATTCACTGTGCCCATTTATTAACAAGTATTATCGAACAATTTCACTATTAAGGGTTAATAACATAACCTCGTCACTCATATATTGTGAAATAGTAAATAGGTATTTTAACCTATAATTGTGGGTTGAGATACATTGTACAGGGATACGTTGAGAAATTTTAAGTGATATATATTAATGTTTTTATTACTTTCATTTACTTACGTTGGACAGTCGCCATTATCAGTCAGAAAATTGGGGCAGCAGACCCGGAAATTATAAACCCTGAGATTATAACTAAACTTTCTTTAGTATCAGAAAATCCTGATTATGAAAAGAAATAAGTGCTATAAATAAACTTAACTCATAAGTTTATTAAGGTTATGTAAACCCTTAACATCCACAAAAAATTGGCAGAACAAGTTAGAAATAATTACTGAATTCTGGGACAAAATTATCCGGTGTGTAAGGGAGAGTCAGTTTACTAGTCCTTAAAATTGTTAATTCCCAAATAAATGGGATTTAATAGATGCATTTTTAAATATAAAGACAGTTTATTATTACATATTATTTTGTAGACACATAAAATAAAAAATAAAAAGCTACATAATATGACACCCCTCTATCAGGCATTGAGTGTTGGTAGGCCTATGTGCAGCTGTGGACTTATATAGACTGTAATGGATGGATGGATAATATGACAAGAAAATAAGAAAAAATGTGATATGAGAACTGTTTTACCTTGATATGAAATATCTAAAGGTTACAAGTTAAATACACATAAAAAATAAGTAATATGTGAAGTAATAATTAAAAAATAAAATAAAAATGGATTTATTCAGTAAAATTAATTATGGTATCATTCATAACTATCATGTTATTATTATCACCTTCATAACTAAAACTGGGTATGGTAAAAGCACAATAGAGTTATGCTGACAGATGCATACACTGATTGCCAAAATATGTTAGCAACAAAATAAATTGTTGTATTAAGAGGGAATTATGTAAAATACTGATATAAATAGTGACTAGATAGATTGTGCATAACCCATTTTGGTTGCTGTTAGTAAAATGAGGTTAATAATGTTGTGCTTAAAAGCTCATTATATATAATAATGTATATATAATGTTATGTAATATATATTCAGTGGCAAATTTCTGACCTTAGATGGTAGTTAATATTACAAAAAAAAAAAAAAAAAAACATTAAACACATAAAACCGTTTGAAATATAAATTGACACTTCTCGACTGGAATCGAAAAATTTGGGTTTTAGTCCTTCATGGAGAGTAAATTACATAGATATTATTCTATATTAAAGTAGTATATGCTTATATTTTTGGGAATCGTAGAATACAATACAAAACTTTGAGCAAAACAATATAGTTATAATGAATAGTAAACTTACTACAACTAAATAATACTTATGTTGTACAATTTTACCCAGAGTTGATAAAAATCCGGCTTCTTATATTAACAAGATAGAGAGGGTTCTATTCATTAACTATTGAGGATTCAATACTTTAAATTAAATAAAAATACGGAAATTTAACATACAATCTAAAATTGAGCCAAGTAAACAAAAAACAGTCAGAGGAAGTCTTTCAAGTCTATTCAACAAGATCATAAAGCAGTGTCAAAGCTATAACTTGATCATATTAGTAACGAGAAATAATAAAATTATTATATACTTAACAATGGAGTTCTGTAGGCATGACCCAGAAACCATGGCAGTTATATTAGATTGGGGGACGATTCTTCTTGTATGTATTTCCTCTTAATGTCGATGAGCCAAAAAACCATAGGTTTTTGTGTTTTTTTTTCACATGAGAAAATATTTTGCGGTACTGAGATTTAGAAGCAATCAAATAAAGATAATTAATGGTATAGTTTTTATTACAAAGGGCTCAATATTATGAGTATAACATAATGAAAAACTTGTTACAAATTATAGATGTAAAAGTATTAGAAAGTCTCACAAGGGTTTGGCAAAAAGAAGTCCAAAAATTGTCAACGTAAGAGAACCCCCACATGATCACCGGACATCAAGGTAGCAAAATATAACATACCATACATATACATACCAATGATTTGAAAGTTGGGCAAGACTATTCCCACTTTTGACATGTACATAGTTTCGGAAAGTATTGAAGGAAAAGGGAAAGTATAATACTGAGGAGATAGGGATGCACAAGCACTATTGAATTAAAACTGCTGGGAAAAATATCTAACAGGAGTTATATAGATGCTATATACAGACCGTTAGAACTGTCACTTAGAATATATACATGGATTTATGTATATATCATAAAATAAGAACGAAAAATACTACTGGCAGATATTAAGCGGTGCAGAGAAGCAGAAGTAATTACTGTAAACTTAAAATTTTTGAGAGAATATCCAGCATAAGTTATTAAAATGCTATGCATTAGAGCTGTCATTTATGAGGATAGACATGGTAAACTATTCAGACCTTACCGCTATGAATCAGAAGGTAGACAGGTCTTAATTCACATATAAGATGCTATCATTAGTGGAAAGATATTAAGATGGGCTAGGACTCAGAAGACATCACTGCAGGCTTTAAACTGTTAGAGCTATCACATAGAGGATAGACACAGTTGACTATTCAAATCTTAGAGCTAACACTTTGAGGTTAGACAGATTGAATTGAAAGCATTACAACTTGAAGGAAGACATTAAGATGGACTACGGCTCGGAAGAAATCACTGCAGGCTTTAAACTGTTAGAGCTATCACATAGAGGATAGACACAGTTGACTATTCAAATCTTAGAGCTAACACTTTGAGGTTAGACAGATTTGAATTGAAAGCATTACCAATTGAAGGAAGACATTAAGATGGACTATGACTCGGAAAAAATCACTGCAGGCTTTAAACCGTTACAGCTATCACATAGAGGATAGACACCATTAACTATTCAGACCTTTTAGAGCTAACACTTTGAGGTTAGACAGGTTTTGAATTAACATTAAAGCGCTGTCACTATAAACTATAAAGTAGTGTTTTTCACATGAGCAGTAAATGTGAAATAATGAATTATTTATTTTGAGTAAAATAACAAATTATTATTAACACTGCCTATATAAAGATAATCATACTACCATGTCATGTTATAGTCATCTCATAGATATCTCATACACATCATTGGTTACTATTAGTGAAGTATTTTGTAAAATATGGTACTCCAAGATTCGCTCCAAAATTCATACTAAGAATTATAGTGAACTCTCCTATGTCAAATACTATAAATTATAAAATAATAAAATAATTAATTCTTTATCGTACCAAATTGTAGTAAGTGTAATGAAATTCCTTCCTGGGCTGTTGTGCCTTTTACTTAGGTTTGAGTTATAAAAATAGACTTAATAATAAGTTACCTTTAGATTATTAACTACAGAATATTGCAATAAATATTGAGAATACAGAAATTTAAAAAAACTAGTAACAAGCTGAGCGGTGATAGGTTATAGGTTATAATATACATACATTGTCCTTCAACAAATATTACATTTATTCAAACGGGAGCTCAGTTGTATAGTTAAGATATAGATAGAATTTCACTTCAACAGGGTTTGCATGGGAAAATATAAATAAGAAGGGGGTTGAGCCTTTCTTGTGAATATTTTAATAGAAAACAGAACACAAGATAGTGATAAATTTAACCCACTTAGAATAGTATTTCTTAAGTAAGTTATAAGATGTTAAAATTAAACTGGAATAGATATTCCAGATTGTTTTCTTTTTCAGTCATAATTCTTCCACAGGGCCACTTCTGCTGCAATCAAGCTGGCCTTATGTGCATAAGGAAATGTTATGAAATAACGATAATTTATTTATTTTATTAATTTAAATTTACTATACAGGCAATATGTTCAACATTTTTATAAAATAAGCGAAATTGCAAATTTCCATTCATTGGTATTATAAATTCGCAACCCTGTCTTCAAACATCTACAATTGTTAAGAATGTCTAGGACAAGGAGGGAGTATAATTAAATGGTTAAACGAACTTACCTTAAGTGAAGTTCAACCATAATTATACGAAGCTCCTTGTCCTAGACGGTACTCCCGGCCCAACCCTCCCTGGGTTAGGGTTGCTCATCTAACTCCTTGCTTTAAACATAATGAGGTTGCATTGACGGACGGGTGGATACAGTGTTGCCAGATATACTGCTTTAAAATTTTTTTTAGTGAGCTTGGATAAATTGTGATGCTGGCATGGAATGCGGCGTACTACAATTGTTAAGAATGTCTAGGACAAGGAGCTTCGTATAATTATGGTTGAACTTCACTTAAGGTAAGTTCGTTTAACCAATTTAATAATGATGTCCTTACTCAAAAATATGAAATGAAATAACATTTGTTTACAGAAATATGATGTGTGACAAGTAGTGACAAGTTAACACACACATTTGTGGTTCACATAATCAACAGAAGTCCGACATACAAATTAAAAAATAAAATTGTTATTTTAAATTATTGAAGTATATAATACACCGTCCATTTTAAACTATTTTGTATCTGTCCATCCAAAGTTTGCTTGAAGAGATCGCTTTTAGCGATAACCTTATCGCTCATTTTTCAACTAAATTAGGCTAACAAATAGGTAATTAAAATTCGTAAGCAATTATTAGTTTATACAATTATGAAATCAATATATAAATCTATAAATTAATAAACTCAATTCAAATTTAATAATTCTAACATAATAGTGTCTTTAAAAATATATAAACAAGTTAATTTATCTTTAATTTATGAAATATATTACATATAAGTGGTCCAATTACACTGCATTATTAAGTAAATCAGTTAAGGAAAGACATTTTTTGGATCAATTTATGAAATACTTAAAGTTGCTATCACTCTTTTCACTAAATGACAGAAAAGGAAAAGAGAAGAGAAAAACAGGTAAAGAGATAATTAAGACTTAATTTAAATAACCTTTTATTAATTACTGTGAGCAAGGAACAATTAACTTAGTCTGCACAGCACATCATACATTTTGTGAACAACTTCTGTGCCACCAAACCCAATATAACAAGCGTTATGACTTGGATGCACTTTGCCAGGGGTTATGGATAGTTGGTGTCTCGCTCTTCCCACATACAGCGTTTCACCTGAAGCTGTTCTACCACCGGGTATTGCCCCAGGTGGCACGTTACCGCTTGAAGCTGGGACCCATCTAAGGTTTTCAGGTTTTGCGCAAAGAACCTCAATATTCTGTACTGGTATTTCTTTTGCGTTATACGTAACCGTGGCTGCATTGTGTCTCACAGATAACTTGCCAGGCATCAGGTCTCCGTTGTGCCAAGCTCGGATCACCCAAAGTGGACTCCCGTCCCATCCCTCATGGCCTCCAAGTACTGCTTTGCCGGTGAGATGCCCAGCTGTAGTCGCTGTGGTTGGTACCCAGTCGAAGTCTCCAGAAGTTTCTGCAATCTGTACCTCGGCTCCGGCTGTTGTGTTAGATGAATCACCGTGATATATATAGTTCGTTACGTATGTTGGTTGACTTGTATCATGTGGGACTGGTACAGGAATCATCATTGTTCCAGGTACAAAGTAGGGGTAAGGGGCAGAGGTTTGCCCATGATCGAACGGGTAGTGTGGGGGATGGTGAGGTGGAGGGTAATGGGGAGGTTGGGGTGGAGGATGGTGAGGAGGATGGTGTGGAGGATGGTGTGGATTTGGAGTATGAGGCCACGGAGGAGGAGGACCGTAGTATGGAGGAGGTGGCCCTTGTGGTGGATAGCTCATTTCGACGTCGCAGTAACTCCACTCAATTATAAATCGAAAGTACTAAGGAATGTTCTTTTATGATACATTTTATATGCCGCGATCGTCAGCTATAATCTTATCTGCTGCCCGATAAAGATATCCCCAGTTCGATATGTTGATGCTTTGAGTCATACGTATAATAAGTAAAAATTAGTCATTCTATGTCACTGAAAACTAATTTATTTTGAAATCCTTTCATCTGTTTGCTTGTTCCAAACATTTTAAGTGTAAGCTATTATTAAAACCAAAAAACTGGATTGCAGTGATATATTCATAATTATCAATATATTCCATTGCAGCTCACAGATTGTCCCTATATGGTGGATATTGTCAAGCGTGACAGGCGTGTTGGGATACACTTAATAATTTTGAGTTCAGTTTCCTTCTATCGACATTGACAACACCCACATGTCGGTATGGGGTAGTGTTGTTTTCATACTACTTACACTAAACTTATACTAATGCTAATTATCAGATGTATGTAATTTGGTTTAATTCAGGGACTAAGTGCTTGCTGTAATATTCACAGTACGCAAGAAGCCCGGGTTTGATCCTCGCTGGTACTAATTAAATTTGTTAAAACCAATTTAAGTGCCGAAATCCGGTGAAAGAAAACATCGTGAGCGTGCAGTCAGGTAGCTTTATGTTTAAATATTGACCCAATTAGCCTTCGGTAGCTTAACTACTTGCACATGAATATGGTAGGAAGAAGTATTGGACCCTACAGATCCTAACTAGTTTCCCTATACCTAGCAGTCCCTAGCCGTCCCTATTTCCCTAGCTCTACCATATAAATACATATACATAAATTAAGTAACTACAGGATGTCTGCACCATGAGACCTAAGGTAAATTATAATTTAACAGTGGTAGAGCCACGCGGCAGCTTTGCTGTTGCACGTATGGGCCGGCTCAAACTGGGGTGGTACCACGACCTCACAGAATACCGGCGTGAAGTGGAAGCTCTGCTTCCGCGTTTCGTCTGGTGAGTGCAGGTGGCCGGAGGCCCAAATCCCCCCCCCCCATCAACATGGTAGCGGAATTAAATAATGATCGACTACCCCAGGAGGGTACCAGCACCCCTGGAGAATCCCTCGCTGAGCATCCACGACCCTGTTTGTCCACTTGTGTGCGGGGGTGCTCAGGCTGCCCCGCGTATTCTGGGGGGGGGGGGCAAAATTCCGCTCAAGACTACAACTGCTCGGGGCAAACGGAGCAACAAGACCAAGGCGACCCCTGCCACGCTGTCCGTGAATTTCTGCAATATCAGGGGACTTCACTCTAACCTAAACGAAGTCCACTACCATCTCGAGACGGCGAGGCCGGCTCTGCTCTTTCTGACCGAGACGCAGGTGTCCTCTCCGGCTGATGTCTCGTATCTCTCCTACCCGGGGTACAAACTGGAACACTCCTTTGTGCCTCGGGCTGGAGTTTGCGTTTACGTCAGAGAGCACATCTGCTCTCGACGCCTCGGCAGACTTGAAAGTTCGGACCTGTCCATCCTTTGGCTACGCGTAGACAGCGACCATCCGCGCGTCTACGGGTGCCTCTATAGGTCGCATAGCGGTAATGCCGAAACAGACCGACTATTCGACCACGTCCAAATGGCTGCAGATTCGTTGCTACAGCAGATCCCCACCGCAGAGATCGTGATCCTCGGCGACTTTAACGCCCATCACGCCGAATGGCTTGGTTCACGTTTAACCGATCATGCGGGGAGATCTGTTCATGATTTTGCCTTGGCATATGGTCTGACACAACTGGTTACTTCGCCTACGCGGATTCCAGATGTGGAGGATCATGCACCTTCCCTATTGGACCTTCTGCTGACCTCTCACCCGGACGGATATCAGATTTCCGTCGACGCCCCTTTAGGCTCCTCGGACCATTGTCTGGTCCGGAGTGTGGTGCCACTCACGCTGAAATCGCGGTTGCATTCTGCAGGCTGCCGCCGTGTTTGGCACTATAGGTCAGCCGATTGGGATGGGATGCGGTCTTTCTTTGCATCCTACCCTTGGGGGCGGGTTTGCTTCTCGCCGCATGATCCCAACGTTGTTGCGGACTCTGTTGCTGATGTGGTACTTCAGGGTATGGAACTTTTTATGAATTCCTCTGTGGTGCTCATTGGTTGCAAGTTTCAGCCATGGTTTGGTCGCTCCTGTAAAATAGCATCATGCTATAAGCAGGAGTGCTACCAAGCCTGGGCTGATGCATCAGCGTCCCGGGATGTAAACACCAGCGCTCTAAAAAAGAAGTATAATTCCGCCTCTAGGTCCTTCAAAAGAGTCATTGCCAAGACAAAGTCAGAGCACATAGGCAGAATTGGCGAGAAACTATTTCGCCTTCCTTCTGGAACCCGTGCATTCTGGTCTCTCGCCAAGGCTGTCCAGGGGAATTTCTGTCAGCCATCTCTTCCATCTCTGCACAGGGAGGACGACTCGCTGGCCCATACCGCAAAGGAGAAAGCCGATCTTCTAGGCTCTTTCTTTGCGTCTAACTCGACTCTCGATGACGGGGGGAGTACTCCACCGACCATCCCGCGGTGTGAGTGCTCCATGCCGGAAGTGCACTTCACACAGCGCTCGGTTCCCAAAGCACTCCTCTCCCTGGACATCCACAAGTCGAGTGGGCCTGACGGAATCCCCCCAATTGTGCTGAGGACGTGTGCTCCAGAGTTGGCACCGGTTTTAACGCGTCTTTTCCGGTACTCCTACTCTCTAGGCGTAGTCCCAAAATCATGGAAGACGGCTTACGTCCACCCGATCCCTAAAAAAAGCGACCGCTCTGACCCGTCCAACTACCGGCCAATCGCCATCACCTCCTTGTTCTCCAAAACAATGGAGTCTATTGTAAACTGCCAGCTCATGAGGTACCTTGAAGATCACCAGCTGATTAGTGACCGCCAATACGGTTTTCGCCGTGGTCGGTCAGCTGGTGATCTTCTGGTCTACCTAACTCACAGATGGGCGGAGGCAGTAGAGTTCAAGGGGGAGGCATTGGCCGTTAGTTTGGACATTGCGAAGGCCTTCGATCGGGTTTGGCACAAAGCGCTTCTTTCGAAGCTCCCTTCCTATGGGCTTCCCGAGAAATTGTGCGATTGGATCACCAGCTTTCTTGCAGATCGGAGCATCAAGGTCGTTGTAGACGGTGCAAGCTCCTATTGCAAGCCTATTAATGCTGGTGTTCCACAGGGCTGTGTGCTATCGCCAACGCTATTTCTTCTGCATATCAATGACATGTTGCGTACCCGTAACATTCATTGCTATGCAGATGACAGCACTGGTGATGCTCTTTACACCGGCCGAGCCAATATTTCTCGGGAAAACGTCTCCGAGTGCCGGGACAAACTTGTGTCTGAAGTCGAGTCTCTGCTGGACAGAGTCTCGGATTGGGGGCGACTAAATCTAGTCCAGTTTAACCCCCAGAAGACACAAGTTTGTGCGTTAACCGCTAAAAAGAACCCCTTTGTCGTATCCCCTCAGTTTCAAGGCACTCCCCTTGTTGCCTCAGCCAGTATCGGAATCCTCGGCGTCGACATATCGAGTGACGTGCAGTTTCGTGGTCACTTGGAAGGGAAGGCCAAATTGGCCTCTAAAAAGCTTGGCGTGCTCAGCAGAGCGGGACAGTATTTCATGCCGGCACACCGCCTGCAACTTTACAAGGCGCAGGTTCGGCCGCACATGGAATACTGTTCCCATCTCTGGGCTGGGGCTCCCCAGTACCAGCTTCTTCCACTTGACCGCATCCAGCGCAGAGCGGCTCGAATCGTCGACGACCGTGTGCTTTCCGATCGGCTCGATTCACTGGCGCTGCGAAGAGATGTTGCATCTCTTTGCGTATTTTATCGCATCTATCACGGGGAGTGCTCTGAGGAATTGTTCGGATTAATCCCAGCCGCCAAATTTCGTGAACGCACTACACGTCAAACGTCCCGATACCATCCACACCATCTGGATGCTTGGCGGTCCACCACTGTACGTTTCACAAGGAGTTTTTTTCCACGTACAACCTCTCTGTGGAATAGTATTACCACCGGCGATTTTTCCGGGATACGACCTGGGGACCTTCAAGAAAAGAGCTTACTCCTTTCTTAAGGGCCGGCAACGCACCTGCAATTCTCCTGGTGTTGCGGTTGATCATGGGCGGCGGTAGTCACTTAACATCAGGTGAGCCACATGCTCGTTTGCCCCTTCTTCTATAAAAAAAAACGGACGGATAGACACAGGATGTCAAGGATGGGGTTCTCTCACTACCGGTCAAGCAAACTCACAAGACTCTGACGGCTAAAGGTGTCTTGGCCGCAGTGAAGAGAGGTCTTACCAAGAGTGTCGGTGGTAACAATGAAGATGACGTCCAGCGTTGAAAGAGCGTTTTATTAACAAACAACATTACAATTTATATGATTACATTGAGGTTACTATTTGCATCATTTTTGAGATTATTCAGCAAACTATTGGTGTACGTTATTTTTGGTAACGCGGTAACAGTGTCACTGAGTTGCAATGTTCAGAGCTGAACATCTTCGCGTCTCTCAGGAAGAGGTTTCAGCTGGTAGAGTTCCATTGAGTCTTGTTTGGAGGTGGCAATGGTCTGGAGGCGGGTGCTGCCGGGTTGGTCCGGGCGGATATGTCTGCTCGGCTTGTTGATTGTCGGGCTGGACGGCTGTGGCTGCGGCTACTCAGCGTCTCGTCTACGGTGTCTCACGCGTGGCACCCATCCAGTCATGTGTGATTTAAAGGAAAGTGTTAATAAAAATATAATAGTAATTATGATAAATAGTACTGAGCTAGTTATAAACGAATTACTGTCTGTAATCGTATATATTTTATTATTCTTAATATGTCTGTGGAGTCTGCTTCTTGTTACCGAAACTACTAAAAACGTCTTTGGCGCTATCTAATGCTTGTTCTTTAGAAATGTCTTAATATTATTTGATACTACGTTAGCCTCTATGTATAAGCTAAAATTCGTCATTTTATA